TGATGCCGTCCCTGTCGTGCAGGACTCCTGGGGATCACTTATGGCCACACACTTTGCTACCAGGGACTTGAGCAAGTCAAAGGCTCTGAATTCCCAGATTTCAGGGAAATGCACTCAGATGACTCATTTTTGCTCCTGGTAACCATCAGAACACTTCTGTGCACATTTTAACGCTCTGCAGCAAAGCACCGATGGGTGCAATGGCAGCCCTCTGCTTACCCCCTATAGCACCTAACATATATGTAATTAACAGGACAATTAGCTGTTCAGCACTTTGCTGGGTCCCTTCCCGCACGTGCTGGTCCACGTCCCGGGCTCCAGCCCACCGGCACGACCAGCAGCAGCGAGAGCGGCCGAGCTTTGCACGTCTGTGCTCCTTAGTAGCACGTGCCATCGGGTTTAACCCTGGGATGCAAACACAGAATTTATGGTTGGGAGGCTGAGACAGCCCACAGTTAGAGACTTCAGTTTATGTTTACCCTCACAAGCAGCATAAAATTTTATGTTTGAGGAGTTTGTCCTAACAAAGCTCTGAAACCCTAAACCCGTGTTAAATCAGCTGAACTAATAACAAATGATGGCTGTGGTCTTCGCCGCCGTTCGGGAGTAGCAGGGGGATCTCGTAGGGCTGGATTCTATACAGCTGGAGCGCTGGATAACATGGTTTCGTTTTATGGTATTGTCACAGCTAATTTTTTTTTTTTAGAATTAGAGCTTATTGTTTGGCAAACGTCGATGAAGGAAAACTTACTGGTTGAGCCTGCTTTGCGTTTTGGAGCCTGCCTGGTGCGTGTGGGTACAGCTGGAGGCTTGGCACAGGGGACGCGGGGGCTGCAGACCCTCCCTGCAGCGCTGCTTGTGCTGGGGCTGGGGTCCCCTCGCCTGGAAGACGAATTGACAGCTTTGCACTTACTGCATATCTTATTTTTTGCCTTGTGACTTTAATAAGCGAGGTTCCATGAGTGCGGAAAAGTAGCTGAGATGACTTGGAGGAGCGGGAAGGCACTGAACATAAGTGTCCCTGTGCGGCGTCAGAATTATGTGCAATTGTTTTACTGCAAAACTAGCAGCTCGTTTAGTAGCAGACCAGATTTCTGAGACAGATTAGTTAAACCAGCTGTAACGCGCATCCCTCTCGGGAAGGAAAGCCAGGAGTGACAGCAGCAGGATTCCTGCCTTGCTACGTGCGATCCCGATTGGGATGGTCTGGATGGGAGGGGATGAAATGGGAAGAGTTTAGTTTAGGGGCAATAGGGAAGGGGGTTTGGTGCATGATGATAATTTCCAAAGCAAGTCATTAATCCGAGGAGGAGGAGAACTGCTGGATGAGAGGCAGGCTGGCTTGGTGCCAGCCGGGCTTTGAAGACACGGCTTGTCCCCTAAAGCCTTTGCCCAGTTTTTGAGGCTAACAGTATTACTTAAAACACCCGTGCTGACTTCAGCTTGCTTTTCTGCACATTGAAACTGAACCGCACAGTCATCCTACGCTGGTTTCCATCTGCTGCTGGTGGCTACTGGCCGTCTAGAGATTCCCACTTCTGTGCTAACTGCAATAGATGGGTTTCCTTATAGTTTTGTTCCATGATCAGGATGGATATTTAGCAGAGGAACAAGTACATAAATGGGCTCAGAAACCGTTCCAATAACCATTATTTCATATCCTAACCACCGCTGTCATCTAAAAAAGTGTTTAATTCTGTCCTACAGCAGACTTTGCTTCAGCAATTGAAGCAGTTTTGCTAAGTTAATAAAGCTCTCTGGCATGAAAGCTGTCACAAAGCTGCATTTTAAAAACTACATCAAAAGAACATGATTTCTCTCGCAGATCTGGAAAATCAGGAGATCCCAGGTCAGGTTTTCCCTGCGGACCTTATTTCAGTCTGATAAGAGTCTTTGCTTACCTGGTTCTGCTGTTTCTTTTCCTGGGACCATGACAATTCCTCGGTGCTTCCATCCTCCTGTTGGGTTGGTCCTTCCCTTACCCCTCCATCCAAAGCCCGAAATGCACATTCAGTTATTTGGAGGCACTGTAGCATCTCGGTCCTTTGTGCACGTTAAGTGCATCCTCCTCCCAGGTAGCAGCCTGGGGCTGTGTGAGGATGCTCCAGCATCGCCCCAGGCTCTCAGGAACCGGAGGAGAGGAGCCGCAGCTCAGCTCTGACCTGCCCTCTGGAGGCACCGCTCTCCTCCAGACAGGAGATCCAGCCCTGGGGATGATACGCTGCTGGGTACATATACGGCAGGTAGAAAAAATTGCAGCTGTTTTCCATCAAAAAATGGAAATTTGAGAAACCGCTGCATGGTTCATCTCGACTTTTAACATCCGGCTTTCCCTGCCTTGCGCTGCAGCGTGCAGGTGGTCCAGGGGAGCATCCCGACCTCGTTGTGGGGCTGCGGGACCCCCCAGCTGCCCAGCCAGAGCTCCAGGGCAGAGACCGTCTGAGCCTCCATCTCTTGGGAAGCCTTGGAGAGTCCCTGTGCCCCGTTTAAATGTAATTCC